GAAATTAGACATTTGGAGCTAATTAAAATGAAAACACAACATATAAAAGTTTATGGGCTGCCTACAAAGAAGTAATGAGAATGAAATGTATAGTAGTAAATGTCTATGTTAGAAATGAAAAAAAGGTGTCAAATTGACGACTTCAGCTTCTAATTTAAAAAATTAGAAATGAAGAGCAAGGTAAACAGAGTAGAGGGAAGAAAATAACAAATATCACTGTGGAAATCGATAAAATTGGAAACAGAAAACAATAGAGAAAATCAGTAAAAACAAAAGTTTCCGCACAATGAAGGAAACAACAAAATGAAGTGATAAAAGCTGGTTCTTTGAGAAGGTCATTAAAGTTGATAAACTCCTAGCCAGACTTAACAGGAACAAAAAACAGATAACATAAATTACCAGCATTAGACCCAAGAGAAGTGATATCACTACAGATTCTAATGATATTAAAAGGATAATAAGGGACTACTATGGACACTTTTATGCTAATAAATTCAACAACTTAGATAAAATGGACAAATGACGTGAAAGACAAACCAATAAAATTGACTGAAAAGTGAGCTCATATATCCTATGTCTGTTAAAGGAATTTAATTTGAAGTTCAAATCTTTCTACAAAGAAAACTCCAGGCCAAGGTGGCATCACTGGTGAATTTTCCCAAACATTGAATGAAGAATTACTATTCTATACAAACTCTTTCAGAAAACTGAAAAGCAGTAAACACTTTCCAACTCTTCTCTGATGCTAGTTTTACCCTGATACCAAAACTAAACAAAAACATAATACATACAGACAGGTATCCTGCATGAGCATAGATGCAAAATTCTCATCAAAGTACTAGCAAATCAAATACAACAGAATATAAGAAGGATAATACCTCATGAGCAAGATGGGTTTATCCCAAGAATGCAAGGCTGATTTAACATTCAAAACTCTGTCAGTGTAATGTCCCATATCAACAACAAAAAGGAAAAAATATATAATCATCTCAATAGACTCAGAAAAAAATAATCCAGTATCCATTTCTAATTTTAAAAACACAACTCTTATCATGGAATAGAAGGGAACTTCTATAACACGTTACATATTGCAGTTAAGTTTCCAGGGTAACTCACACATCTAATTCTTGGATAAATTATTGTATCTGTGCAATTATAAAGAAAGAATGGAGGCAGCATTGTTGAAAATCTATAACCTGGCATGTCAATTCCATAATTATCAAGTTTCATCTGTATGAGAGGTACCATACTAGGTTCTAGTAGTCCAACGTCAAATGTGGCATCCTTTGAAGAACTTGAAGCCTAAACAGAGGCAAATGGATATGTCACATGCAGGCAATAAACATTCACTGATGCAATGATTTAAAATATACAAGAAATAATTATGCCAAGGGAAATGAGCCAGACCAAAAAAAGAGTACATATTATGTAATTCTGATATGTATAATTCTAGAAAAATTAATCTGTGATGGCAGAAAATAGGCCAGCAATTGCTTGAGGATGAGATCAAGGGATCAGGGAGCATAGTCTGGAGGGATTTGTAAGGAGCACAGGGAAACTTCTAGGGGTGATGAATATGTTCCTCTTATTGATTGTGGTGATGTTTTCAATAGTATGTACATATATCAGAACTTATTAAAAAGTGTGTTTTAAGTATATATGGTTTATTTTATGTAAATTAAACCTCAAAGCTGCTAAAATATATTTTATACTACAATGTGGACATTTAGGAAGGAATGGATATTATTTTTCCTATAGAGGATGCCATACTCCAGAGAGGCCTCCTGAACAGATATTGCTGAACCCAGCCACAGCTCTCTGTATCAGAAGCTTCTTACAGGAAACAAGAGGACACATTCAAATTCTATAATTTGAGAACAGATTAATAAAATGACCATTTACGAAAATGCAAGAAAGATTTGGAATAAGACAAGGGATAGTACAGCACCTCATGGCTCGTAGCACTCACTACCATTAGACTAGAAGTGGAGGGGAGAAGTGACTCCTAAAACCTGGGGAGAAGGTGCCCTGCTAAGGGAGACATTTGAAAAAGAGCTGAGACATCACAGCACACATTTAACCTACATGGACATTTTAGGGAAGGAGCAGAGGAACAAAAACCGTAACTGTATTATCCTCCCTCCTTCCCAACCTCTACAGGTGCTCCCCATTGGCCAACCCCACCAAAAGCCAAAAAATAAGGAGGCATTCAGCCAAACAGCCTCTTCAGTATTGGAATAGCATGGAAAATGGATCTAGAAAGACAAATAGGTGATCTACAGCATAATCTCCATTATAGTGTACTTTATCTTTATCTGGTTGATGTGGTTTGGATCTCTGTCCCCACCCAAATCTCATGTTGAATTGTAATATCCAGTGTTGGAGGTGGGGCCTCGTGGGAGGTGTTTGGATCATGAAGGCAGATTCCTTATGAATGATTTGGGCCATCCCTTTGGTGATGAGGGAGCTCTTGCTCTGAGTTGACAGGAGATCTGGTCATTCAAAAGTGTGTGGCATGCTCCCTGCCTCCACCTGTTCTTGCTCGTGCTTTTGCCATGTGACTTGCCTGCTCCCTGTTCGCCTTTTGCGATGATTGTAAGCTTCCAGAAGCCTCCCTGGAAGCCGAGTAGATCCCAGCACCATGCTTCCTGTAAAATCTGAAGAACTGTGAACCAATTAAACTTCTTTTCTTTATAAATTACTTTATACATGGTAAAGGTATTTCTTTACAGTAGCGCAAGAATGGCCTAATACACAGGTCTGGGATCAAAAGACAAAAAGTAGACAGAACTAACACAGTCATATTTTTCCTCTGGAAAACAATAATTATTTCAGACTTTTACTTAACAATATAAGGCTTCATCTTCCTTCTGATTGAACAGTCTCAGTTCCTGCATTTGGTAAGATGTACTGATAAGCATGAATTTGACAAGCAGTGCCCTATGCCAGTAGTGGACAAACTATGGCTTATGGGCCAAATCTGTCCCATTGACTGTTTTTATACAGTCTGCAAGGTAAGAATGATTTTTACGCATTTAAATGATTGAAAAAATATCAAAAGAAAAAAATCTGTAACATGAAAATTACATGAAATGGCCGGGCGCGGTGGCTTAAGCCTGTAATCCCAGCACTTTGGGAGGCCGAGACGGGCGGATCATGAGGTCAGGAGATCGAGACCATCCTGGCTAACACGGTGAAACCCCGTCTCTACTAAAAAATACAAAAAACTAGCCGGGCGAAGTGGCGGGTGCCTGTAGTCCCAGCTACTCGGGAGGCTGAGGCAGGAGAATGGCGTGAACCGGAGAGGAGGAGCTTGCAGTGAGCTGAGATCCGGCCACTGCACTCCAGCCTGGGTGACAGAGCAAGACTCCGTCTCAAAAAAAAAAAAAAAAAAAAGAAAAGAAAAGAAAAGAAAATTACATGAAATTCAAATTTCAGGGTCCATAAATAAAGTTGTACTGGAACTAGGCATCCCCATCAATTTACATGCTGTCTGTAGTTGCTTTTGCACTGCAAGTGGCGGAGTTGAGAAGTTGCCCACAAAACCTAAAATATTTATTCTCTGACTCTTTACAGAAGAAGTTTCCTGACTCCCACCCTAGCTAAAGAAGCTGCAGATGTGGGGACAGATTCACCTGGAGCCAGGCCCTGGCTCCATCACTCCTTTCCTATGTCATCCTGACATGTTACACCATTTCCACAAGTTTCAGTTTTCTCAAGACAAAAAGGGGATAGTAATGCCTACTGTATAGAGTCACCATTGAGCTTTATATAACAGAACAAAAGTAAAATACCTGGCACAGGGGCTAACACACACAGAAAATTGTTTCTGTCACTAAATGAATAATAGGTGAAAATACTAGGGAACATCAAACAATGCAAGTTTTCCTGCCTTACTGATTATATAACTTTTCCACTTTACCATTTACTAAACATACGTCTATCTTCTCATCATTCCAACTGGTGTCAGAGGAGATTTACTTCTCATCTAAAGCTTATCCCTTGCCTGTAGGCACCAGATCCCATCCCTTTCAAATCTGCTTAAATAATAGTTTCTAATCTTTAGTGTGCTTACAAAGCGTCTGGCTGTTACAATACAGATATGTGAGCCTGCAGAAAAATCTGCATTTCAAAATTACTTTAAGGAGAAAATTCTCTCTTTCTCTCTCTCTCTCTCTCTCTACACACACACACCCCTCTCTTCCCTTCTAACATTTTTGTAATCTCTTTCTTCATAGACTTCTATCAGTATCATTTATCTTTAAAAAAATAATACGGAGTTTCTGTTGTCATAATATTTTTTCTAGCTACCACCAATCTGTTTTAGTCTACCATCAAACTCCTCACATGTGCAAATTATGTTACATCTGAAGCTATTTTGGAAACTTATGATTTCTATATCTGTAATTTCCTGTGCCACCTCTCACTTTCTATTTCTTCATTCTCTATTTCTTTTGTTAATTACTTGTCATCATCTCTTCATCAAACATAGAACCTCCTTTGCTCAGGTTACTGCCTTACAACCTCTTACTCCCAGTGAACTCATCAGGCCCTTGTCAGCACCATCTTTAGGGGACTTCATAATGGGAGGCTAACGTGCTTTTACCACAAGGCCATGGAGTTGTATTCAGGGTTTCCTGACATAGTTCCCAGGTCTAGGGTTTGAGGGAGCTCAAAAGGCAAAACCCATTTTTCCCTTCCTGAATTAACAGAGACAAGAGCGAGACAGAAATAATGCAAATAGAAAAATAAGATAAAAAATGTTTACTACTGATAAGACTGATTTGTGGAGAATGTAGCTTATGTCAGCACCTACGTAGGTTTGCAATACTGAGACACTGAGTTCTGCAGATTTACCCACCCAGTAACAGGCATTGCTGGCTAAGATCAGAAATTGGAAACAGCTCTTCCTGACAACTGTGAGTCCATTCACAGAAAGAAGGACTCTCTGCCTAATTTTAATTATCAGAAGAGAAAGTTGACAATGTGGACGTGGAAACATGTTAGGTAAAAGATACAATGGGATACAGAACTTGGTAACAGTGAGCTATGAGATTAGAAAATTCTACTTGAGTTTGGGAAAAGATATTTCAAATGTTTAGAGAAGAAACATGCTATAGAAACATGTTATAAAGGGATGTACTTTCTGATAATAGGGATACTCTAGAATGGCCTAGGGGGAAAAAATCCTAAATTATCATTTTAAAATGCTCTGATTTTTGGCTGGGTTTGGTGGCTCACGTCTGTATCCCAGGACTTTGGGAGGCTGAGGCAGGCAGATCACCTGAGGTCAGGAGTTCGAGACCAGCCTGGCCAACATGGCAAAACCCCATCTCTACTAAAAATACGAAAATGAGTCATTTTTGTATTGTGTAGCATTGTGGCAGGCACCTGTAACACCAGTTACTCAGGAGGCTAAGGCAGAAGAATCACTTGAACCCGGGAGGCAGAGGTTGCAGTGAGCCTAGATAACACCACAGCACTAAAAACAAACAAACAAACAAACAAACAAAAAACCTCTAATTTTTAAGGGGACAACTAAAGAAATCTTCGGAAAGGGACTAGAAAAAACAGCAAATGTGGGACACATGACCAAGACTAAGCTGAAAGATCAATGTGAACTTGTATAAATAGTGTCACGAAGACCAAAGTCCTCAGTGAGGATATATGAGCAAGATGAGGTTCAGAAATGCCAGACAACAAAAGTAACTTTATAGATGTGGTCAAAATGAAAAGAAAGAGAAATGATCTCAGAGAAGATGATGTAATGTTCAAAGATTACAAAGAAAAGGCAACTGACACAACATTGCTCTTAAGCAAGTCATTTTATCTTTCCATGACACACTTTCCTGCCTCCTCAACAAATGAAAATGTATTGGACACCAAGTTGCCAGTTTATTTGTGTTTTGATATTCATGAAAGTGAATGATCTTCAACCTGGGAAGGAAGGTATATATAATGAAGAGCTTTAATTATAATTACAGCATGATGAGAAACAAAAAGTAGATTGAATTACTAAATGGAACAGCTACTATAAGTACACTAAATAATAAGGTACGCCACGCTGACTTCATTTCCACTGATGAGTTGATAGGGAAATGTCACTAACCATAAAGTTTCTTGATTTCAGTAAAATGTGTGATTAATCCTCCAATGATATAATTTTGGATAAGACAACACTTGGAGAATAGAAAGGAACATGTAATTGGAATTAAATTTAATAATAGTATATCTTTTTATCATTCTAGCTGTGTAGTCTCGCAAACATGACTAAACTTCTCTGGGTCTGTTTCCTAATTGGATAAAAACAAAAGTAAACAGTCAGACTATTTAATTCTGAGCTGATTTGCTACTCTAAAATTTAAAGATTGTAATGTTTCAAATAATTTGATATCAATATATAAGGAGATCAGTAAATTACAACAAGATCTTGTCTTGGTTTTGCGCAGTTCAAGGTACTTATAAGTGATTTGGATAAAGATATTGAAGGCCTAATTATGGAACTTACAGATAACACAAATATGGATTGGGTGACAAAAATGGCATGCTGAAGAATCAGGATCTGAAAAGAAGCCTCAAGAGATTAAAGCTTATAGGTTACTTTAGTGCTCAAATGAAAATTGAGAATACCTAGTTTGCCAACAGTTTATCTATGTGAGAAAGCAATGCTGATCTCAAATTTAGCATGAACCAACAGTGTTAATATGAGTGCAGAGAGAGAGAGACTGAGAGAGAAATAATTGCACCATATTGTCAATATACATCAAGAACTTTAAAACTTCATAACTTTTTTTTTTTTTTTTTTTTTTTGAGACAGAGTCTAACTCTGTCGCCCAGGCTGGAGTGCAGTGGCGCCATCTCGGCTCACTGCAAGCTCCGCCTTCCGGGTTCATGCCATTCTCCTGCCTCAGCCTCCCGAGTAGCTGGGACCACAGGTGCCCGACACCTCGCCCGGCGAATTTTTTGTATTTTTAGTAAAGATGGGTTTTCACAGTGTTAGCCAGAATGGTCTCGATCTCCTGACCTCGTGATCCGCCCACCTCAACCTCCCAAAATGCTGGGATTATAGGCGTGAGCCACCGCGCCCGGCCCAAAAGCTTCATAACTTTTAACCACGAATTTTCACTTCTGATAGTTCAGAATTGAACTATCAGAGAGAGAAAAAAAAGTAAGATATTGTCTAAGGAGGCAATAATGAATAAATATGTCCCTAAGTATCAGCTACAAAAATTGATTGCTGAACTATATATAATCATTTAAAATTAAAAAATCATAAACATGCAAGAAAAAGAAGAACATGTATTTATATAAATTGTGACAACCCATACAACAGATTCCTATAAAACCAAAAAAGTATATATAGCCATGTGGATGATCATTATATATGATTGAAAAAAAATCCACAGGTTTACAATACAGTATATTTAGTATGAACTCATTTTTCAAAAAACATATGTGTGTATTTAATAGATTGTCTCAGAAATCCATGTGTGTGTATGTGGAATACTTTTCCAGGCATACACTGTCAATACCCCACTAATTTGTGTTTTCACCAGTATACCACAGGACAATGGCAGGTTGTAGCAGTCATCTGTTTGGTTTGAGCAATCCAGCATTCATTTCCTGTTCTTTTAGTAAAAGTGATCCAATTTTTACTGGGGTCAACTCTATCCCAATCTGGAGTTGCCATGCGATCCCAGCCTGAATCAATTAGTACCTTTCATTCCCCTGCCATAATATGTCGTTCAGAAATTGTCACTGGACTAATTTGAGTCAAATATTAACTTTCTAGCTGAATTTGGGTGAAAGATCCTCTTTTTCCTGAGATTTGAAACTAAAAGGAAGCTGTTTCGACCTATACAGCAGCCGTATTTCTACTGATATGATAGAATCTGTCCAAAAGTGGACCCAACAGAGAAGTAGGGCACGAATGTGCAGAAATAATCCAGACACTAAACCTGTCCTTTAAGCCTGTGTATACAGTTCTACTTAGAATCAGTTGATCCCACTTCCCCAAATTTTCAAGGTTTTTTTTTTTTTTTTTTTCAACTTTACTATGGTTTGAATGCGTTCCTCAGAGTTCATATTTTGGACACTTAATCCTCAGTGCTACAATGTTGAGAGGTGAATCTTTAAGGGGTGATTAGGACATGAGGGCCCTGACTTCATAAGTGGATTAATGCTATTGTAGAGGTGGTAGATTAGTTATCTTGAAAGTTGGTTCCTGATAAAAAAATGAATTTGGCCCCCTTCCCTTCTTTCTCTCTTGTGTGTGCTCTCTTGCCCTCCCACCTTCAGCCATGGATGACACAGAAAGCAGGGCCTTGTCAGATGTGGAATCCTCAACCTTAGACTTTCTAGACTCCAGAGCTATAAGAAATGAATCTCTGTTCTTATAAATTACTCAGTCTCCGGTATTCTATTTTGGCAGCACAGAACAGAATAAGACAGCTTTACTGAGGTATGATTGAGGGAAAAATTGTATATATTTAAGGTATACAGAAAGATGTTCAACATCACTAATCAGAAAATGCAAATCAAAATCACAGTGAGATATTATTTCACACCAGTTAGGATGGCCATATGAAAAAGTAAGAAGATAACAATTGTTGGCAAGGATATGGGGGAAATGAACCCATATACACTGTTGGTGGGAATGTAAATTGGTGCTACCATTATAGAAAATAGCCATTATAGAAAATAACCATCCTAGATAAGTTTTAAGGATATTCCTTTAAAAATTAAAAATAGAACTACCATTTGATTCAGCCATCACATTTTTAGGTATATATCCAAAGGAAATAAAATCAGTTGAAGAGATCACAATAGCCATGATGTGGAAGTAATTTGTGTTCATAATGGACGAATGGTTAAAGAAAATGTAAAATGTGGTGTGTGTATACGGGGGTGTGTGTGTGTGTGTGTGTGTGTGTGTGTGTGTTTTCAGCCCTAAAAGTTAATTCTGCCATTTGTGACAATATGAATGAACATAGAAGATATTATGCTAAAAGAAATAAGCTAGACACAGAAAGGCAAATATTGCGTGATCTTACTTACATGTGGTATCTTAAAAAGTGAGACTTATAGAAAAAGAGGGTAGGGAGTTGGAGGTGGGGGAAATAAGGGGATTTTGGTCAGAGGGTACAAACTTTCAGTTACAAGATGAATAAGTTCTGGGAATCTAGTGTACAGCATGGTAACTATCACTAATAATAGTTAATGATAATATATATTTAAAATTTACTGAGAGAGTAAGTCTTAAGTGTTCTCAACACACACACACACACACACACACACACACACACACAGGTAACAAAAATTTTCAGCTTTTTAAGCCAATAAATTTCTGTTTCGCTTTGCTGGTGTAAATGGTACTTTCATGTTCTTATGATGTTAAGTGTTCTAATAATATGGTGCAGTGAACTGACAATAAGTCCAGAGTTTACTATTGAGCTCTGTATCAAGAATACTGATGTGTCCTGTGGCCAGCTCCTTCCACCAGATAATTCAGAGTTATCGGGGACTCCAATAAGGTAGATATTCTCATTTGGGGAGTGGGACAGAAATCTCAGGGTGGTCTCTGGAGCCAATGACTCTACTAGCTGTCTTGAGAGTAGGGGAGAGTACAATGGGAAGACCCTGAGGCAAGAAAGTGATCAGAGGAAACTTAAGGTCAGAGTCTCCTGGAAGAATGATTTTGTTTTTAAATTGGCATTAATTAGAAATGATAAATACAGTCAAGTGTCAGTCACTGAAGTTCCCTGTGCAATGGCAATTAATAGAGCTAGTTTTCCCCTAAGATCTTTCTTATGGCTTAAGCATCATTAGATGATTCTGACAGCCATGCAGATAACATGCTATAGAGAGAAAATCCACTGAAAGCTCAGGAAAGAAGTGGCATTGGCGTCAACCCTGATGAAGACAGGGCAACTGCCAAGGGGCCTAAGGAAAGGGTTGCAGGCAGGCTCCCTAATGCAGGGAAACGACGCGAGTGTAGGAGCAACAAACACCTGGTGAGCTCCAAGCAGCAGGCTGGTGTAGACAGTGGCAGCAGCCTACATCTGAGAGAAGGGTCAAGATCTAAGACCTGGGGCAAAGGTAACAGGAAAAGAAGCTGATAGACTGAGAGAGGGCAAAGGTAGGTGCCACCCAGAAATGTTGGTATCCTAGAAAAGAGATGAGAACCTCAGTCCTGCGGTCACACAGCTGCTAGACAGAGAAACTAATAAATATCTGAGTTAAATGTTAAAGTGATTAATTTGTATCTAAAAACTAGAATTTGGGGGTATGGAATTCTTCTTTCTCCTCCTCCTCTGCCTTATTCTCTCTTCCTCCTTTTCTCCCTCTTCTTCTCTCCTCCTCCTCTTAACCCTCCTCCTCCTTCGTCATTGTTGTCATCAACTCCTCCTCCTTCTTCCTCCACCTCCTCGCCTCCTCCTCCTCCTTCTTCTTCTCCTCCTCCTCCTCTTCCTCCTCCTCCTTTTTCTTCTCCTCTTCCTTCTCCTCCTTCTTTTTCTTCCTCCTCCTCTTCTTCTTCTTCATCTCTTCCTCCTCCTCCTTCTCTTTCTCCTTCTCCTCCTCCTCCTTCTCCTTCTCCTTCATCTTTTATTGCTTATCTGTATTTCCTAATTTTTCTATTGAGAAAAAGTTTCATCAAATGGCCAAAAAGGGGTCTTTGCTTAGACTGATAGAAATATAATATCCTGACCTAAGGAATTCTACCACTGGATATAACAGCCACTCTTCAGCTTTCAGTGATCTACTTACCTCGGCACACAATTCTGACATCAGCTGTAAGAAAAACATTGATAAATTAGAAGGAGAATGGGAGTAGGAAAAACATTTGAAATCACCTTTTTTAAAGCAGTAGTTGAGAGAACTGAAATGTCTAGCCTGGAGAAGAGATCTCTGAGGGGTATGAAGTGTAGCTATACCAAGTACAAAGTAGGTGCTTATTTCATGGTTTTGAATAATCTGTAGTTAAGTAAATGACATCTCCCTTATTAGATTACAAACTTTTTTATGAGAGGAAATTGTGAACTGTATTTCCTTCTGTCCCTTCAGAACCTGTTACCAAGCTTTGTGTATAGTGAAGCTTCATAAGATATTTAGCAGTTGATTATATTTCATTCATAGCCCTTCACAGTTCTCTATAAATGCTAGAGGAAGAGCCCAGGAGCTAGGAATTAAGTAAAGAACATTTTTTATCTATATGCTTTTCTAGATCACCCTTTCCCCCTAGACTGCCCTGGCACTGAAGAACTTTTTGCCTTCTTATTTCCAATGACATCAGCCTCCAAATCACTAGATTTGCCTACTGCTCCTCACATGGGTGTCCCATCATCATGGATTGCTCTCCCATGGAGGTTTTAAACTGAAATTCCAATCGCATTTTAAATTAAATTTTCTAAGCCAATGCCCTGTCAATGCCTCTACCACGCTTAAGACTAAATTCATCATCCTGTCATCCAAATTTATTTTTTCCATATTTCCGGTTACCATGCCATCACTGGCCTGCTAAATGATGTTTAAAACCTCCAAGTCATCTCTCTTCCAAATCCAAATGCTCTGTTGACAAAAGCATCTTCTTTTTGCCGTTGCATCCTCTCTTCTATTTAAACTATCATCTCCATTCACACCCTCTTCACCATACTTCATACTCTTATTATCTACTTTCTAGATGATAATAATAGTATTTAATTTAACTCCTCAGTTTCTTCTTCACACTCCAACATATCTTTCACATTGATTCCAGATTAGTGTTCTCAATGCTCCATTCTGATTATGGTACTTTACTCACTAAAAATCATTCCTAACTCCCTTTAAGACTAAATAAAATGTAAATCTTCTGGTTTATTGCACAAGGCTTTTAACAACTTGATCCTAAACTGTTTTTACCAGCATGATTTCCAACAACTTTTATAAATCAGCTCTCCCTTCAAACAATTTGTTCTACTCAAATGCTTTTTTGAGTCTGTCCTTTTCAGCTACTCAACGTTTCCATTGTTCTTCTACCTTCAAACACTAAATTAAACACCACCGTGCCTTGCAGTCTGCTCTGATCTCCCCTCCCCTGAGTCAAAAAGTAAATTTCTCCTTCTCCAAACTTGCACATCACTTTCTCTCATGTTACAGTTACCACTCCTTTATATTTTTATGGGAATGTATAAGTTTGGTTGATTTTTTCATAACACAACATACCTAATGTAATGACACCTTACTTTATACATCCTTGTATTAGCCATATAGTCATTGATTTAAAATATTTATTGAGCACAGGTGATGGGGATACACTAATGAACAAGATGGGCTTCTCCTTACTTTCTCACACTTACGGTATTGATAAAATAACATGGAACACTATTGACAAGCAAATAACTAACACATAGTTTATTAATTGAAATTAGGATAAATACTAACAATATATAAAGTACGCAGTACTGTATGGAGACATAGAGGGTAGATATATAAGATAATATTGTTTTATTACTCAAAATACCCTTTCAAAATAGAAGTGTATTCACTCTGGCTTAACAGTACTTGCTTATTTAATAGAAACTATTTTACTTTATTTACAGCGTGGTCTGGCTGTTATGAGTAAAGACAATGATATCTGGGGTACAGAATAGGAAACTAAATTTCCAGTCCTCAGCAACCAAAGCTGACTGGTTTTGCTGCCAAACTAAGGAAGAAGTATTGTTTTGTGTTTTTCTTCCCTGTTGTTTTACTCTAGAGCAGCTATTTTTTGCTTTTACCAGTTGCACGGAGCCATCAATCGAGGCCAGTAATCTCCAACAGAATAAAAGGAACAAAACCATTAAGAGCCAAGTGATTCATCACTAAGCCTGATGCCAGCTGTAAGGGAAAAAGCCCTTTCTGACTTGAAACTAGCAGGCACAATAGCACCTTATTCCCAGAGGAGCTCTGAGTTGAAATTTCTGAATGGACTTACCACCAGTCTCAGCTGGCAGCTTACTACGCATGCACAGGCATGTAAAGTCTTCAAATATACTTTTTCTCCCCAGAATGGACACTGTTCCTAGTTTTTCCATGTTTATTTAAAAACAAGGTTAGACTCTCATTTTTCTTTGCTCCCACTGAATTAATGCTTCCTACTGCCAGAGTATAAAATTACCTCCTACTCTTAAACAAGAGCTTTCTTTTTCTCACACACAAGGTACTATATATATTTTGGCACCTTTGATTGTCAGCAGAGGAACACTGAAAATAACAAATTGCAGGCAGTTAATGATCATGTAAATGGAAGGAAGACAGCCACCACCACAGCCACTTGCATAATGTGGCATGTGGATGAAAGAAGAACCCCTAGGACAGAAGGCAACAGTCCAGGTGGAGACTGCCCCTCTGGAAATGAAATTGCCTAACAGAATTACCCAGACAAACGTTACTAAGGAGAACTAGTTATCCTATGGCCTTGAATTGAAAGGAAAATTCAGTGAGCTCATAAAAGCCATTGTTGCTGTATCCTATAATTAAATGTTGTTTACACATCCTTAAGGACTACGAAAGACGGATAGGGCATATGGGAAATTTTCCATAGTGAGCCATAAATGTTGCCCCTGAAACAAGGGGTTTAGTTTATAAAGGGGTGCGGGGGGGATGGAAATATAAAATATGCCTTGCTGTGTATTTTTTCCTTTTTCCTGGGAAAAATAAATAATTTTTGTGGCAAGTATATTGGAGACATTGTTTATGAACAGTTCCTCTTCACATAAAGGTTACCTCTGTAAAGCTGCCAAGGTCAGCGCCCTGGCGGGTTATCTGCCAAGTAAGTGCCAGTTGTGGAATCTACACCGTGGCAGGCATGGAGGCAGGCTTCGCTCTCCCACCCTCCTTCTGAATCATCGTTCTTTGCTTCTTTGTACCAGAGTTGTCACTTTTCCCACTCTGTGCCCTTCCTTCTCATTGGTGGGATCTCTTTTCTTACATATGAGCTGAATGTTCCGTTGTTTGCCAGGAAGACAGACTTGCTGAATGCTGATTTCATGGAAGTCACACAAGAGAGGCAAACAGTACTTTTCCAAGTAATCTGCATAAAAAGTAACCTTACAAGGCATAAAGTGCTCAACTTGGCCCGTGATGCATTTATGAATTTTTAAAAGGGATGATTGTTACATATATGTGTGTGCATTTGTGTGTGTCTGTATATATTTGATACATATATGTATGTACAATACAATGTACTATATATACACAAAAGCATATATACATGGATTTTTCCCTTAATATATACACATTTACATATATATGTGTATGTTTTTGTTTCCATTTTTTGTTGGGCATTTTAAATGGTTCTCTTTTCTTATCCAATGACTTTTTTCTCTTTTTAAAAGCACCACAAGAAAAGTACAACTGCAAACTAGCTGTTCAATTTCTTTAATCTCTTCTCTAGTGTATTCAGACCACCTAATATCCACTCTCTAGGGTCTGATATGATGGAAAAATGTATTTGAATTCTTGTATTTTGACATATAAAGCAAAAAGGGATTATTCAGAAGAAGCCTGTGTTTGTTCAAAGATATTTTCCTAGTATACAAGCTATCCTCGTAGTCATTTCAATTTTGCATTACTTTCTGCAGTAAAATTTTTAGCATACGTCATATTTAACTACAACCCTTGTGGCATTCATTGAAATAACTTTTATGTTGATGCTTTATAGGAATTAAAGAGAGGTTAAGTAATTACTTGTAGTAAGCTGTGCCTTTTTTACTCTTAACTGCTCCCTCAAGTGAACTGTCACTCACCTGTACATCTATCATTAAGGTGTATGTGCCATGATAAACCCATAGGGCAAGCACCACTTGATGGTAATGACTTGTTTTTTAGGCAGTGAGAAAGATTTCACAGTTATATTTTGAATAATACAATGCTCGTAAGTACAATTCTTCAAAATCCTAGAAAGCACAGAGATTGTTCATAATGAAAAGCATCCCTTTTTATACCTTAATATCAATTAATCTTCTATTTTGTGCAAACACACAAACTTGTCTAATTTTTCACTAATGTTGCACATCTTACTGAATAAATAAAATAAAGCCACCAAAATTTGTTTTATTTAATAGATTGTATGCTTGCAT